GGGTCCCTGTGAGTCAGAATCAAATCAGTGGCAGTGAGTCTGTTTTTCATAATCTTTGTAAGACAAGAGGCTGTGGGGTGGGTCACAGGGCTCACTTGGGGAACCACTCTGTCCTGTTGAAAAGACCCCCCCACCCCCCAAAAAAGTAAAATAAAGTTCCTCCACCTGCCCTTGAGGTAGATTCCCAGGTTCCTCACTTTCCCTCTCTGCCCTGGAGCCCTCAGCTCTCTGTGTGTCTGTTTTCAACCATTTCCCATGGCTCTGCTGTCTGGGGCCATCCCAAACAGCTGGTCGTTGTTGCCTGTGTGGCTCAGATTCTGCAAATAGCCGCTCAGATGCCATTCTTCGGGGCTCAAAGAAATCCTCACACTCTTTATTCCCATTTGGTGACATCTCCGTGAGCCTTGTGCCTATTTTTTTAAACCTCCTCCTAAGTCGTGCCTATGTCATCTGCCCAAGCCCCGCCCCCATGCTGTTCTCAAACCGGGGGCTAAACAGCCGCCAGGATCTCTGCACTGGCCTGGCAGCGGGGGGCGAATGGCGTCCCTGCAGGAAGCACAGCCCTTTGGGTTACCAGCTCAGCACCCCGAGGCTTGCTTTTGGGCCACCCAGTGCAGTGTTGACTGTCCGGGGAGGTGTTCTCTCTGCCTTGGGCGTCCGACCTTGGGCTGTGGGTGGGCTGCACTGCTCCACACTGACAGCTTCCTGTCCGCTCTCCTCTCCTCCCCCCTGGCCCTGATTCCCGGGTGCAAGGGACCCACGTCCGACACGACAGCATGGAGCCCGGCGACCTCTGGGATGACGTGTCCAACTGTCGCTGCGGAGACCGGCTGAAGACCCTGGAGCAGAGGGCGCGGAAGCAGCACCAGCGGTGCCTGGCACACTCCCTGGTGGGGACCCCGAATTACATCGCCCCCGAGGTGCTCCTTCGCAAAGGTGCGTGCTGCGGCTCTGAACTCAGACCCGTGGAGCCAGCTGGCCTCTGGGGCTCGCCCTGGCTCCAGCATCCCACCTCCTGGATTTTAGATACTGTGGTTGGACCGTGGGAGCCTCAGCACCCAGTTATTTCCGTAGCAAAGAGTCTCTGCGGACCCCGCCTGCCTCTGCTAGGCTGGGCCGAGACCAGATGGGGTAAAGGGGTAAGGGAGGGCTCTGAGGGAGCTAGCCTGGCACAGTGTCTGTGCAAGGCAACTGGTAGGGTGGCGCCTGGTCAAACAGACATGGGAGAGAAGCAGAGATGAGTGATCCTGTCCTGCGATCCCGGGGCATCGGCCCTGCCACAAGGCCAGAGCCTGGGGCCCAGCTGCATGCAGCTGGGAGAGCTCTCCAAGGAAGAGCCTTGCACCAGGAGCCTGTCCAAGGTTGAAAAGCGTCTGTCTGTCCAAGCGTTCTTTTCCCCAAAGTGCCCTCCCACCCTCCACTCCACTGTCCCCCTCTTTTTCCTAAACTGACTGCGGGCCCATGCAGGGGCCTTCACGAAGGGCTGCATCCAGCTCGCCACAGCAAATGACTTAATAAAATCAGGTCAGGAAAAAGTGCCCACAGGCCCACCTCTGGGAACAGAGCTCACAGCCGGGTTCTCTGGCCTCCAGTCTGCACACCCAGTGAGGCCATTTCCGTGCCGCTTGGCTCCCACCAGCAAGCATGTCTGCTTTCCCAGCAAACCCGCCTTCTGTCCTCACACAGTTTGACCCTGAGGATGACGAGGGAGTAATAGAGCGAACCTTCTCTTGCAGGATACACTCAGCTGTGTGACTGGTGGAGTGTTGGGGTGATTCTCTTCGAAATGCTCGTGGGACAGCCTCCCTTTTTGGCACCAACCCCCACAGAAACCCAACTGAAGGTAACTAAGAGGGAAGTGTTGACCAGTCTGGTGGCCAAAAAGGCACAGTGATTTTCCGAGGAGTTCCTTCCTTGGTGAATGCCTGCCCTCTTAATCTGTCGGTTGTATATGATGGGATTTGAAACTATTCAAATTGATGAAGCCCTGAAGGTGTGGTGGGCTCTGTGTTGTTGCTACTGCTAACTGCAGGGTCAGAAGTTCGAAACCACCAGCTGCTCCTGGGGAGAAAGACGAGGCTTTCACACTCCCGTAATAAAGCGTTAGCGTCTCAGAAGCCCACAGGGGCAGTGCTACTCCGTCCTGTGGGGTCACAAGGAGTTAGAATCGACCTGGTGACAGTTGTTGGTGTTTGGGAGTTTGTGGTTATCATTCATTGTGTTTAAAATTGTGTGTGTGTGTGTGTGTGTGTTTAAAATTGAACTTTACTTCCTTTTGATTCATGAAGATGTTTGAGTGTTAGACCGGGTTTGTGTTAAATATCGATGAGAGAAGCAGTGCTACCCAGGCTCCAATTCACACCCGCACAGGTCTGCCCCCGACGAAGTGTGTTTAGACCTGTCTTCTAAGTCAGCTTAGACAGTTGTGCTACCTGTCTCTTGGGGTTCCAAAGGCATCCTCTTGATAAGTTCTTTTCTCAAAGGAAACAGGACAATCACAGGGCCTGGGGAGGAAGATGGTTTAGGCAAATTGAAAACTGCGTTCAAGACAAAAAGGCAGGAAAGTTGCACTGAGAGAATTGTTCTCTTCCATCGTGACAATGTACCTCCCCTTTCTTCCAGGCTAGCAGGGGTGTCCTGAGAGTGCTCCTGGGAAGCCTGACCGCATGCACTCCGACCTTGTCCCTGATCTTGTCCCTTCAGACTTCCTTTTGTTTCCCAAACTCAAAGAACATTGAAAACAAACGTGATTTGAGTCCTTTGAGGGCACCCCAACCACCGTATTCAAGTGGCGTAAATCACAGAGTGCAGGATTCGTAGAGGGAGGGCCATGAAGGTGGAGACACTGTCTTCAGGAGTGTACATATGACCCTAAAGGGACGATATGTCAAGAAACAGTAGTTTTACATCTGGTTATTTTTGATTAATGAAGGTTTCTACTTTTTTTCTTTTTGGCTGTCTGTATTTGGCTTTATCATCCTGAGAACCACCTGCCAGTGCTAGTGCTTTTCTCTCTCTCTCTCTCAATTTTATTTACTTGGATGTCATTGTCAGGGCTACATGCAGCAAAACATATGCCAATTTGACAGGTTTTATGTGACCCTGCAAGTGGCTTTGATTCTGTTCTTTGAGCTGTGCAACCATCCCCACTCTCCTTCCCAAATTGTTCCTCCCTAACCAAAGGGAATTCTCGGCCTCATACAGCTCCTGTCCTGTCTAATCTTTCAAGTTGCTATTGACCATTTGATTCCACATAGATAGTTCTTAAAAGAGCATCATACTGAAGGCAGACATCTTTAACTACTCAAGCCAAGTTCGTTGGGTTTGTTTTTCTTTTAAATCATTTTATTGGGGGCTCGTACAATTCTCATCACAACCCATACATACATCCATTGTGTCAAGCACATTTGTGCATTTCTTGCCATCATCATTCTTAAAAACTTTTTGGGTTTTAAGATGATTTCAGGGATATTGTTGCATTAAGATTCAAAGATATTTTTTTCACAGAGCAGTGGTTTCAAGAGTTTATCTACCTGCCAGGGCTCCAGAAAGTCTAGAGTCTCTCAGAATGTGAAATTCTGCCCTGCACGTCCCCCTTTTGATCAGGATTCTTCAATGGCATCGCTGATCAAAAGGTCTAGTAATGGTAGCTGGGCACCATCCAGTTGTTTTGGTCTCATGGCAAAGGAGGCAATTAGCCACATATTTCCTGGCTCCTCCTTCCTCTGTTGGTCCAGGTGGATAGGGTGTCTTTACTATAGCTGCCCCAAATCTAACAACTGCTGCTTCTAAATCTAGTTTATCCTTCCATTAGGAAACTTAAATTATCTATCATAACCCTGTCACCCCTTAGCAGCTCAGAACCATGCAGGCCACTGAGGTATTGTTCTCTGTCCCTCCAGGTGATAAACTGGGAGAGCACACTCCATATCCCCACCCAGGTCAAGCTGAGCACCGAGGCCCAGGACCTCATCACCAGGCTGTGCTGTGCTGCTGACAGCCGCCTGGGCAGGGCCGGGGCCAACGAGCTTAAGGCCCACCCATTCTTCAGTGCCATTGACTTCGCCAGCGACATCCGCAAGCAGCCCGCACCTTATGTGCCCAAAATCAGCCATCCCATGGACACCTCCAACTTCGACCCAGTGGATGAGGAGAGCCCATGGGACGAGGCCAGTGGAGACAGCACCCAGGCGTGGGACACGCCCACCTCCACCAACAACAAACACCCTGAACACGCCTTCTACGAATTCACCTTCCGAAGGTTCTTTGATGACAATGGCTACCCCTTCCGATGCCCTAAACCTTCAGAAGCAGAAGCCGCACAGTCTGAGAGTGTCAATGGGGTCAGAGACCAGGCAGAGGGCTGCCAGCCTGTGTATGTGTAGGCACTCCGCAGTCCCCAGGAGCCTCGACCCGGGACATGCCTCGGGGAAGGTTGTGAGTCAGCCCACTGACATGACACGTGAATCCTGGTCTTCCATAGCGAAGAAACAACCAAACCCAACCGTCCAACCGCCATCTAGCGGAACTTCACGATAGCCCAACTTCCGATTGGCGTCCAAGGACCTTCACCACATTCAAACAAGATTTAAAGACAGCAACAACAACAAAAATTTTTTTAATAGAGTGTAAAAGAGCACTTATTTTGCTTATATCCACTTTCGGTTTCTGACAAAATTATAGGGACTAACTTTGACAAATCATGCTGCTGTTAGTTTCGACATGTGCGTGTGACCCGTGGCACTTAACTCACCTTTAGGAAAAGACGGAAAACTGAAGAAGAACATGTGATAAGAAAATCTCTTGTGCAATAATTTTAAAACAACAACAAAGCAAAACAAAAATGACACTGCTCCGATGTTACTGAGAACCGAACCATGGTTTTCGCTTTTCTTTCTTTTTTTTTCTTCTTCTCCCACATTTCAAAATTGTGATATAGTGTTAAAGGCTGCTTTTTGGTTGTTGTTGTTGTTGTTGTTTAGGTTTTTTGTTTGGTTTGGTTGTTTGTTTTTTGTGTGCATATTCTAGTCCCGTAGGAAGTGTGAGCAAGGTGATTTTGTCGGATGCCTGGTGCATGGAGGATGCCGCCTGAGCAGGGTTTTTCTGTTATAAAAATACCGTATCTTGCCATTCACAGCAGGTCCTGTGAAGACATTTTTACTGAGTTATCTTTGGATGAGGTGTGGTAGTGTGTTACTGATGTCTTGTGTGGGTGAATCCCTTGCTGTGATGATAGCCCATATATATATATATATATATATTTTGCTACAAAAAATGCACGCATGTAACTAAGAAGTGATTTTTTTGGGTGTGTGTGTGTGTGTTTTAAGTGTGCGCACGCACACATCTCTGGGAGTGTAAGTGGTTCTTTGGGGAGTGAACTGAAGCATCTATCCCATCCTGAAATCAGAGACATCAAAAGGGATTCATTTAGCGATGCCCAGACCCTGTTTAAGTTCGTGATGAAACTGGCCATTTCTCCATTCAGAATCGTCTCGGGATAGCTGGGTCACTGGGTTCCATAGCGATGCAGATAGTGTCTCCTCATTCCGCCGGCAGGTTGCCTGCCCTGAAAGGGTTAAAGGGTAGCCGGAGCCCGAGGGCTCTGCCCTAGGGCCTCTCGTCTTAAGCAACAGAAGTGTTACCACAGGTAGATGAGTCCTTTTAGGCTCCTTTCAGTTTTCTTTCCCATTTTCCTCTTTGGGATGTGCTATGAAGTGTCAGATCTTAATTTTTGTATTATCTTTTATTTTTCAAGATATTTTTCCAGGCTTGATTTTAAAAATCGAGGATTATTCAAGGAGACATTGGAATATGAAAATGATGAAGCCATAGGTATTTTCTTAGAAAAATAGGTGTGTATGTGTGTGTGTGTATATATATATATATATATATATACACACACACAGATATATATATATAAAACACAGATATATATATATAAACACAGATATATATATATAAAATGCATAGACAACCACACAAACTATTTCTTATTTCCAATTAGTATGAATCCTATTTAAAACGATTTCTTATTTGAGTAAAAAAAATTAATTCTTTCTTGCTTTAAAAAAATTGATGCGTCATGTTTCTCATTATATTATACCACATATTTTTCATTGAATTTTTTTTCATCGTGTATCCATTATTAGTATCTATCTAGGCAACAACATTTATAAATTTATCCATGTCTAAACAAAGAAAGAAAGAATTCCTGTGTACTTGTTTACATTTGTATGAATGGCATCTTCTGAAGTCTGCCGTGCTTGTATTGTGGCTGTCAGTATTTTCGCTCTGTCATGGTAATGCCGTCTTGTTCTTTGCGACACTCTGATGTATTTTCATGTGGTGGGTTCTTTCTCAGGAACTCCGGTTAACTATTATTTATTGATATATCATTGCCTTTGAAAAGCTTATCAGCACAATTTATTATTAAAATTTTGAATCCAAGTCCTCTGTCGTCGATGTCATGTTTCATTGGGCTTTGCAGAAGTTCATTATTTTTATCAGCACCTGAGAACACCTTCCAGCTCCTCCGGGAGTCACGTGTCCCCAGGGTTGTGAATGACGAATTCACAAGGGGACATACAGTTGCAACAAACCAACCTGTAACACACAGTTGTGTAAAAACAGGACCTACATACATACATACATACATACATATATATATATTCTTTTTCCCTTTTACACAAATGGAAGACTCTCCTTGTTTGTATATTTTCTTCATGTGATGTACCTTGACTATCTGTGTGGTCATCACATCAAGAAATTCTTCCTCCTTTATTACAACTGTATAATATTCCATTGTGAAGCTGTCTCATCATCCTTTCGGTCCCATGATGAATATCTCACTTGTTTCTGATGTTTAGAAGAAAAGTCAGAATAAATAATCTCCTACAAACATCATATTGTGCATCAGCAAGTAAATAGGCCGGATGGATTCCTCGCGGTGGAATGGGCTAGATCAGAGGTGTTTGTAACTTTCAGAAACATGGGCAAACTGCCCTACACATATTTGCAATGCACGTCAAGAATTCAGCCTTGAGTGCTTACCCTCGGGCATTTCTCAAAGCAGAGTTTGCCAGGAACAGCCCTGAGAGATGAAGTCATGTTTCTTTGGGTCTTTGGCCAAAAAGCCAGCAGGCTCATTGCTTGCTATTAAACAGCAGCTCAACTTCTCTCGGCCACTGTTTTTCAGTTACAGCAGAAATCTATTGTAATCTGGGGCTTTCAGCGGGTCGACACCGGGCCGGGACAGAAGACATGGCCAGTGCGGAATTTGCTTGCTCGGCTCTGGGTAAAGTCTTGCTTCTCCGATTCAAGCGTTTCTTGTCTTCCAACATCCTTGAAAGTGTAACACTTTACTAGTGCAAAAAAGCAAACCTACTGCCATGAAGTATAAAAATAAGGTAAAGTCAGAGCCTCAATCTGTCAAAATGATGCCAATATTTGAGTAGTTTTACTCAAAATAATGCATATGTTAAATCTCTTTTTAATTGTATAACCAGTCACATTGTGTAACCCAATGCTTTTGGTTCACCCATTGGAACCTTGGCAGGAATGGAGCCTGGCCGTAAAGCTGTGCAGTCACCTGGAAGTAGGGACAAAATGAAACCTGGCCTGGCCTAAGTGGCACTGAGACACTGCGGCCAATGGCGTCTCGGTTCAATCTGCATCAAAAGGGTTATCACAGCTGTCTGAGAAGCGTTCTGGCTGTACTTCCAACATATAACTTGGATTTTCTGGCAATCCATGGTACTCCCTCCCCAACCTCCCCCAACAGTTTTATTGGCACCTATTCCACATATCACACAATTCAATAGTTCAGTCGTATCAAGAAGAGTTGTACCATCATTATTACCACAATCAATTTTAGAACATTTTCTCTACCACCACGACCACCCCGACCCCCATGGTTAAATCGCTTTTAAAATGAGTTGTGTAATCACCAGCAGTTCCAGTGAGTGCTCTCTACCCCTCCACGGTACTTCCAGTATTCTCCAACACTGCCGTTCAAAGGTACCAACCCCCCTGGGTCTTCCTTATTCCAACTTGCACATCATGTGAGGCCGGTGCACCTTAGTCCTCAAAATGATGTCCTGGTCCTGCAGCACTTTATGGAGGGCGTGTGTACTCGATGGGTCCTTGTTGGCGCTTTGCCTCCAGGTCTTTGTATGTTTCACGATCGCGCTGTGTCTTCCCAGCTGTCCTTTGAGTGCCTGTGAGTCGGAACTGACTGCATGGCAGTGAGTGTTTTTGAATGGTGACCATAGTTGTTCTCATTGTTCTGAGGCCTGCCTTAGAGGATCTCAAACGATTTCCACTTATCTTCTCTTCCTGCCCAGCTCAAGCAAACTGTCTCGGGCTCACGGCCAGATTACAGGTTACTGAGAACAGAGACCCCTCAGTGCTTTTGACAGGTTCCACAGGAGATGAAGATTCAGAGCATCACAAGGGCACAGCCAGGCATGGCTTCGACATATTGTGATCATTGTTGGGTGGGGTTGCTGGCCGGTGCTGGAAGAAAGAGCTCATTACATTCCTCCCAAGTTTCATTCTTCACACTTGCCTGGTTGTGTCCTGTCCTAAATCTAAATGCAATTCATGAAGAGAAAAATCACAGGCAGCAGGGTGCATTTCCTCTGAAACTCCCGGGAGCTAAACTTTTTTCAGTTGCAAATTTGGGGAATGGAATTCATTCTACTTCCTCTGGATAGGATATGGTGTATAAGCCAAGTTAGACTCAGCAGGAAGTGCTTAACTAACTCCTGCTCCCCACCCCCCAGTGGAAATATTCATCATCAACCGGAAAAGCTAATTGCTATTAAATTCATTCTTAAAAGCAGTCCTATATGAGCATTGTTAACTAATCCATCAATGAAGGATTTTTTTTTTCTTTCTCTAGCTAGGGAATCCATCCATCTGCCTGTGTCTCAGGAAGGTGTTTTCATTACCCAGTGCTGCTCTAACACAAACGGCAGACGTAAAACAGAAATTTGTTTTCTCACGAGTCTGGAGGCTAAAAGTCTAAATCACGGTCTTAGCCAAGGGTCTGCAGTTAACAGTCAAGGTCCACATTGACTGCTAACTAAGATCTATGGTTCAAACCCTCCAAGGAGAAAGATGAGGCTATCGTTCCTGTAAAGATTTATAGCCCCGAAATCCTATGTAGGATCCCTGTGGTAGTTAGGTTTTGTGTCAGCTTGGTTGGGCCTGGATTCCCAGTATGCGATCTAACATAATGTAATCAACTCTATGATGGGATCTGCTGTGAGCAGTTGTGGAACGATTAGGGTGGAGTGCTACCCCCTTAATCAGGTTACAGTCCTGATACAATTGGAAGGCAGTTTCATTGGGGTGGGGAGGGGAGGTAGGAGGAGAGGCAGGGAGGGGGCCTTCTCCTATATAGGTTGATGCTGTCTGGAAGCTAGTTTACTTCTGCTGGGTCTAGATCCTGCATCTGTTTCATCAGCCTCCAATCCTTTAGACCTGAACCAGTACCCTACCATATTGCTTACCATTCCCAGGAGCCGTTAGAAGCTTGCTGATCTTGGATTGATTCAACTCTACATCCTGCTTCATCTTCCTGCTTCTTGATTGTCAGTCTCAGTAGCTACACAGTCAGGAGAAGCTTCCAGCTTCCCATCAGACTCACAGGCATGAACCAGACTGGATTTACCTGCTTTTATAACTGAATGAGCCATTTTCTTGATATAAATGCCTTTCTTTACACACACGCGCCCGTATCACTTTGCTTCTCTAAAGAACCCAGCCTCATACAGCCAATAAAAATCATTCACAAGACAGCATTTTGCTGGATTGGGCTAAGTAAGGCTTCCGAGGATGACGTGATAGGGTGATGGTATTATGCAGGTGGGAAGAACACTGAAATAACATAGTAAAATCCCCATTTCCAAATAGGGTCCTATTTGGAGGCCCGGGGGTCAGTGTTGCAATATACATTTAGGGTGAACCTATTTCAATCTATGACATCCCTTTGGCTCCCAAAATTCAGGTTTTTCCAACCTGCATAGTACATTCACCCTCACATCATTCTCAGAAGTCTTACCCTATTCCATCATGAACCCTAAGTCCAAAGTTTCATCTTGTGAATGATTTCAATCAAGTATGGGCGAGAATCCGTGTCTCCTGGGCAGAGCTGTAGTACAATATCACAATGAGAATACTGACTTTGGTAGAGGCAACACACAGGAGAGCTCCTTCCTCCCAGAGATCTCTCATGTTGCTCTTTTATCTCTTTACCCCTGACAACCACTAATCTGTTCTCCATTTCTATGAATGGGTTATTTCAAGAATGTTACAGAAACAGGATCATACACAGTATGTCAACTTTGGAAACTGAGTGTGTTTTTGCTCAACATCATTCTCTGTAGATTCACCCAAATTGTTGTATATATTAATCATACAATCTTTTTATTGCTGGAGTCTTCCATAATATGAGAAGAATTTTCCGCTGGATTTGGAATAAGTGCATAGAAAATCAAGCAAGTGAAAAAGAAAAGAAAACAAAAAAAGACAAGATTAATTCTGGGAAAATCTAGAGGTTATGCAGAAAAGTCAAAGTAATTACAGTTTGCTAAATGGTTCATTTAAGAATAGTATTTGCACAGTCATAATATGTGGAGAAAAGATTGACATTGTGAAGGATTTCATCTTACTTCGATCCACAATCAATGCACGTAAGGCGATCAAATGACACATTGCATTGGGTAAATCTGTTGTATAAGATGTCTTTATTGAAAAGGAAGGATGTTACTTTGAGGACTAAGGTGTGCCTGACCCAAGCCGTGGTATTATCCATTGCCTCACATGCATCTAAAAGTGAGACATTGAATCAGGAAAACTGAAGAATTGATGGGTTTGAATTACGGTGTTAGTGAAGAATATTGAAAGTACCACGGACTGCCAAAAGAGCAAGCACAACTGTCTTGGACGAAGTACAGTCGGAGTGCTCCCTAGAGGCGAGGCTGCTGACACTTCAACTCATTTACTTTGCACACGTTCTCAGGAGAGGACAGCGCGCTTGGGAAAGTAGAAGGGCGGCTTGGGAAAGTAGAAGAGGTGGGTGGACACGGTGGCTACAACACTGAGCTCAAACATAAGAACAACCGAGGGAGGGTGGCCAGGGCTGAGCGGCGTTTCCTTCTGCGGAACATGGGGTCTCTATGACGTGGAACTGATTTGACGCCACCTAACGACCGTGATATCAGAAAACACTCCATTTTGATTTCCCTAAATTCTGCCCTTTGCCGGGAAGACGGGAGAACAGGAGGGCATGCGCATGGAGTGAACTCTAGGCCAAGACCAAACACGCTGCCATCAAGTTGAGGTCCACTTATAGCAACCCTGTATGACAGGGTAGAACTGCCCCCACAGTTTCCAAGACGGAAACTCTTTACAGGGAGCAGAGGACCCCATCTTTGTCCTGT